TATATATATATAAAACCTTTACTTTATATTGTGGGTAAATAAAAATTCAAAATTATAGTCGTTTGAATTTCCTACTTGAAAATAACGAAAGATATTGGAGAAAACGTACATAAGCTAAAATTAGATGCAAGATATTAATTATTATATGTTATCAATGGTAATTCTTATCGTCGTATCTCTATTCAGAAATAGAATTCAGTTTGTATTCCTAATCCAATAAATTTCATAATCAACAACTCGACCAACAAGATTGAAGACGCACTAACGCGGCTGGCAGGTCAAAACAGCGAGAGCAGACGGACAAGAATGATCACCGGAGACGGTCAAAGTTATAACGCATAAATTGTTTTATTTACCTTCATTAAAGAGGAGAGGCAGTTAAGAAAGGACTCAGGTCAAATTTCATGTTTCATCGTCATTTTAGAGACATCGCCGAATGAATATACAGATATATAATAAAAATATAAATATAATGATATAAATAAAAAAATAAATATAAAAATATAAATAAATTGAGGAAAAATTGTTTTGTCTTAATGGCAGTAATTTGTCAGCTCCATTTGCACAAACACGGTTAATAGGTCAAAACAGCCAGAAAGGGCGGACCAGAAGGATACAAGGCGGTCAATGTTTTGGCCGACGTATTTGTTTAAGTATTAAATTTACTTAACAAAAATAAATAAAAATACACATCCGTATTTTTACAAAATGAAACGTGTAACTACATAAAATTTTGTGCAAAGGATAAAATATTAGAATCGAGAGGAGAGACCTTGTCGAAACGACTCAGCTGAAATTTCGCTTTTCGTGTTATTTCTGCAAGTCATCGCGGAATGAGACGCCAGATCTACAATTGCCGAAATGGAAGGACAAATTGTTGTGTTTTAATGGCTGTAATTTGTCAGCTCCATTATGCACAAACGCGGTTGACAGGTCGAAACAGCGAGAATAGGCGGACCAGAAGGTCCAAGGCGGTCAATGTTTTAGCCGACATATTTGTTTAAGTATTCAATTTCCTTAACAAAAATAAATAAGAATATATATAAGTATTTTTACAAAATGAAACGTGTAACTACATCGTATTTTTTGCAAAGGATTAAAAAAAAGAATCCAGAGGAGAGACCTTGACGAAATAGCTGAAGTGAAATGTCACGTTTCGTCGTCATATTTGCAAGTAATCACCAAATGTGGCGCCATATCTTCAATTAAATAAATTGAAGACATTTTATTTGAATTGCTGTAATTTGTCAGCGCCATGATGCACTAACGCGGTTGCCAGGTTAAAAAAAGCGAGAATAGACGGACCAGAATGATCGGAGGCGGTCAAAGTTTTAAACCAGCAATTGTTTTATTTACTTTCATTGAAGTGTAGAGACATTTAAGAATGTGCTCAGGTGAAATTTTACGTTTCATCGTTATTTTTGCAAGTCATCGCTGAATGAAAATCCTGATCTGCAATTACGTAACTTGTTGTCAATCGCCTATATTTTAATAACTGTAATCAGTAGGCTCTTCTCCAAACCGCACGTTGCATAATTTTACAGTTTGTTTTTAATTAAGATAAGGGGGCAATTTGTTCCATTTATCAATGATTTGCGATTTTAAACTATACATCATTTACACAGCAAAATGGTCGTTTGAATGGAACAAGAATTAAGTAGAAAAGTTGAACTACAAATAAATTTTTTAATGTATTTTTTTGCGTAAATAATCGACCAATGTTACGTTTTCTAAGTCAGATTTACAGAAAATCCATATAAACACATTCAGAAAAGTAATTTTTAATATCAGATTTATCTTTAAAGATTTTTCCGCAAAGGAGGTTTCCCCACATTCGACAAAAATCGGTTTGTTTGGTATAGAGTAAGAGAATGAGATCCTGAATTTTCCTGTTCGTCATCACGAATTTTTGTTTGATAAAATTGCGTCTAAATACTGACCTGGTCAGCTTGTCATTGTCATACATGATTCAGAAATAGCCATTTTCACAGATCTCGTTCCATCTGTTCATGTCCACTCAGGTGGAACGCACATATCAAGTTTTTATCTTTTCTAAAAATTCTAATTGTTAGTTAGGACGACAATTATGAATCTGTTTAATCCTAATCTGCAAAAGTAGGGAAAGGCGAGTGAATTATTTTAGAGCAACATAAATTTTGTTAAATTGTGATAACTCCTTTTGTAATTTGGTCGTTACCGATAATTTTCGTCTACCTATCCTCGCGGGTTGGTCTCAGCCGCGTTCGGCATTTCGCCATCTTCAGAGTGTCTGAGTCATTATGTGAAGCCAAGTCTCTTTTATAAAGTCGAGAGGGGTGGGGTGCGTGTGTCAGCGTTATCTTTGTTTGTCACTTTGATGGATTAAGTCTGTTTGTCTTTTTAAACTGTTTCGGTCGGTCTATATTGCAGTAGGTAGAATAATATTGATTATTCTTGTAGTATGACGATACTACAAAAAGTTTTGCGTTTCCCGAAGTTTTTAGATCGGTCTGTCAGAGAGTGTAAGGAAGTGGTTACTTCTTCTAGCAACGTCTAAGTCGGATAAATGTCCCACGTTAAGAAAAAATTGCAATTTATCTCGTTTTCTAATTTATTCAATTGTTCTAAAGCACTGCCCAAAACAATTGCTTGTGAATAATCTCTAATGAAGTAATTTTTGACAGTCGAGATTCTGGATGGCCAGGTACTTAAATATGAATGAAAAATGATTGGATTGGATGTGTGTAGGTTCACATCCGCACATGACATATATCTATATAAACATATGCCGAGTTGAGACTATTGACTCTCGGAGTCCCCCGGCGATTCCAGCTTTTTTATTTGCAGTAAATTGTTGGCAGACTCGAGAATCTGGCAGTCTGGGGGCAAACCTCAGTCAGATTCATCCATCCTCCGAAGTTCTGGTGGTGCTGAAGTTCAATTGCTATTCCAAAGCTATTTGTACTTAATGCATTCACTCCTATTTACACATATTACATAAATAGCCTAATTGAGGCCGATGGAATAGACCCTCTCACATCACACATTCACGCTAATAAAGACATTCACTCTCAACACAACCTTTACACATACTGTACAACTAAACTAATTGAGGATCGATGGGTACTTGATATTCCATGGACCCTCTCACGTCACACATTCACGCTAATAAAGACATTCACTCTCAACACAACCTTTACACATACTGTACAACTAAACTAATTGAGGATCGATGGGTACTTGATATTCCATGGACCTTCTCACGTCACACATTCACGCTAATAAACACATTCACTCTCAACACAACCTTTACACACACTATGCAACTAACCTAATAAATTTAACCATGTCCCTAATGGACAAGGAGATTGCTATCACACTTTTTATGGTTATAGAGGGAGCTTTCAGCAATGCAACAACTAACAGTCTCTCTACATACAGCAATTAAAAATAGTGGAGTTTTGGAAAAGATGTGCCAATGGATGGACGAAAGCCGAAGGAAGAGTATAATCACATCCATCTTGGGCGGAGCGACCATCCGGGCAAAGACAGCCAGGGGATACTCGCAAGGAGGTGTTCTCTCACCTCTACTGTGGACGATGCTGGAAGACGAACTCCTACAAACGTTGGAACAAGAAGGATTCTACTGCCTATGTTATCCGGACGACCTTGCCGTAGTAGTAAAAGGCCGTCAAGCAAACACAGTGATGAATCGTATACAACGAGTTCTCTATCTTGTTGGCAGGTGGTGCAAAATGGAGGAGCAATCTATCAACCCCCACAAAACCACAATGATTCCATTCACAAGGAAGAGGACACAACAGCTTAAAAAGTCCAAATCTAAACGGGGCTCTGATCCCATTTTCCAAAGAGGCCAAATATCTACGGATCAGATGCTCCGAGGGTCACCCATCAACAGTGTTCTTGCTACGCGAGAGCTGCTTTGCCGGACCCCCCATCAATTTGATCGGACACATGAAGCAAAGGTAAGCATACCGGACACATGCCCGAGCGAATGAAAAATGAACGTTCAAAATAACTACAAATATTAGGTCTGGTGATGTTTCAAGGTACATCATGTAGTTTGGGGTTGAGTGTGGAAGAGTCTTCATATGGATGGAAGAAAGCCTAAGGAACAGGATAATCACATCCACCTTGGGTAGAGCGACCATCTGGGCAAAGAAAGCCAGGGGATTCTCTCAAGGAGGTGTTCTCTAACCTCTACTGTGGACGAAGCTGGAAGACGAACTCCTACAAACGTTGGAACAAGAAGGATTCTACTGCCTAGGCTATGCGAACGTCCTTGCTGTAGTAGTAAAAGGCCGTCAAGCAAACACCGTGATGAATCGTATACAACGAGACCTCAATCTGGTTGACAGGTGGTGCAAAAGGGAGGAGCAAACTATCAACCCCCACAAAACCACAATAATTCCATTCACAAGGAAGAGGACAATAGGAAGCTTAAAAACTCCAAGTCTAAAAGGGACTCTGATCCCATTTTCCAAGGAGGCCAAATATCTAGGGATCAGGTTTTCCGAGGGTCTCCCATCAGCAGTGCTCTCACGGTCTGACGGTATATAGATTTCTGCCCCCCCCCCCTTTGGAGATACTGGGACCACCTCGGTCAAAGTCCAACTTTTCGGGACGACCTCACACGTCATCACGTTTAACGGGGTTCTATCAGATCCCACGATTGCATTGACAAAACCACGTCACCTTTTTTTTTCATTTCTAGGTAACATCCCATCAGACCCCCGATTTTAATAGTTCACATTGTGGTCACCAGATGCTCTAGTGAAGCGTATGAGGTGTGAGGGTCCCAGAAAGTTGGACTTTGACCGAGGCGGTCCCAGCATCTCCAAAGAGGGTCGGAAGTGGGCACACCGTCAGACCCCGCGAGTGAGGCGGTCCCAAAAATTGGGACCTTGACCGAGGCGGTCCCAGAAAGCCACCAGATGCGCTAGTGCACCCCGTCAAACGTGATGACGTGTGAAGCGGTCCCGAAAAGTTGGACTTTGACCGAGGCAGTATCTCCAAAGGGGGGGGGGCAGAAATCTATACACCGTCAGACCCCATGAGTGAGGCGTGATGACGTGTGAGGCGATCCCAGAACTGTCTATTTCCTACTACTTATGTATTATTTGTGACACCATCTAGGATTTGTTCATCATCTCTTGCCATCATGTCTTCCAAATGAACATTTACGCTTCTGAACGGCAAACTGTTTATGGTTCAGACACCACTGCGGCAAAAGGATATTCAGTTAGATCTGCTGTACAATATATTACATTTAGGACAAACACTTTGACATTGTCAAATATTTAAGTGTTCGGGTTTCAAGAGTGCTTTCCTTTTAGAATCAGTTTCCATTTTAACATCAAAGATTTTCTATCGAACCTAAATGAAAATTTCAAACCAAAATGGCCGTTAACAACCTGAATAAACGATTTCATTTATCGCATACGTTAATGGGACGTTCTACCCCCTTTGCTTGCCTTTTTATGTATTCACAAAGCTCATTGATTCTCTAACAATTCATTAATAAATCCGTTCCAGGGATAAGTTGTCACAACTCCGTGAAACCATGAACAGCCCACTTCTTATGCTCAGCATTGTCTTATTGGCGGAATGCAAGGAACGCATCATAACGAACTATTTCCAATCAAAGAATGTACATGTACTTAACATTTATCTATGTAACAAAGAAGGTAAGTGCGAATATTTAAAATAAATAGCATAAATTTTTCAAAAAAAACGCCTTATTTCCAGAAGCAAAAGAATTAACAAAAAATTTAATAAAAAATAAAAATTTTATGGTAAATATCGCCATACCTAACGGAAAAAAGACTAACTTCGGCGAATCACTCTATGTCACCCAAGGATATTACATGAATTTAAACTGCGAAAAAAATATGAAAAATCTTTTTGAACTATGCGTAAGTAGACCTCAAATTTGGCCATTCTTATTTTACACGTCCTGGATTTTCTACCGCATCCTTAAAACATCAGATCACCCAAAATATCACAAAAACCAAGTCATTAATAAAAACGCCACAGACACCCAAGAAACTCTGTTGACAATGGACATCACTACCAATAACACTAAGTAAACAAAACGGACTCTGTAATACCTTAGACAACATACAATGCCCAAGCGATCAGCTTAGAGGTTACTTGGATAATATCAAATCAGACCAAAAGACCTATCAGGAGATCTTTCATCTTTCTTCCTTTTCAAAGCGGGAGTATCGCATGGTAGAATCCTAGGTATAACCTTATAGGGTGCAAGGTAGGCTCCTCCGAAACCAATCACTCTAACTGAAATCAAAAATTATCGATGAATTACCTAGCGTAGAATAAGATCAATAACACCCAAAATACTATGTAACTTTCCTAATTCTAACCTACCTTTTCAATTCAGTTCTTTGAATCCTTTACTCTGGATTTAGGACTTACAATGATTCCAAAACTCAATAAACCTTCTACCCCAAGGAATTCGAACAGGCCTACTTCCTATATTTAAACTACTAAAGAAAATTCTCGTCAGATGTCAGATCCCACCTAAACTTCCAAAATCTAATATTTAACCACAAATTTGGATCTCGTAGGAATAGGGATAGCTATAGCTATCGGCCACAAGGCCCACATCACCTCGGCCTGATTAGATCTATTTTGCTCCCCTGTTATTTATAACTCAGTGGCCAGCTTCAGGTTATTAACCAGCCTCCACAGCTTTACCAGCGGCACCTTGGTGAAGGATCTTGCTTGTGGTTTTTCTTGTCCAAGTTGCAAGAACCTGCACCTACACAGACCTTCACAAAAACATAGAATGTGTTCAGCGGTCTCCTCTTCCTTACAGTATCTGCACAGTGTTACTTCTGTCTGTACTCCTGTGCTTTCTTAAGTGTCAGTGCCCCGTCAGGAATCCAACAAGAATACTGGTTCGGTTGTGGTTGCCTTCCAGTAATTCCTTTGTAAGTTTTGCGGATGGTCCTTCTATGAATCTCTCCTTCCTCATACCTGTGGTTTTATTCCACCAGGGTTTGGACTCATTAAAGATCCATTTTAAGATGTACCTTCTTTGGTGGCAGGATGCTAAACCACAGTTGGGTTCAGGACCAAGAGAGTCCATGTTGACCCCCTTTTTGGCCAGCATGTCAACCTTTTCGTTGCATCTATGCCCCGAATGTCCAGAGACCCATGCCAGGGCAGGTCGTTAGTGTCACTGACTTCCGTCAGGGCCTAGGAGCTTAGAGAGAGAGGAAATTATTTTGGGATTGCGGGTAAAAGAGAGTATAACGGATATTGAGGTAGGAAGAGGGATATTATTAGAAATTAGAGTGTTGTAGAGGGATTCTCGGTTGATGGAAGTATTGGGACAGGCTAGTAAAATATGGTTGGAATCAACTATGCAAGACGGGGTCGCAGGAACAGTAAGGAGAATCTAGGACATTATTTTATAGAGGTGGGAGGGAAGACAATTGTGGTTTAGGCGAAGCCGAATTATAGAGGCGAGGGAATGGCGAGGACTATTGTAAGATCGGAACCAAGGGAAGGTAGGAATAATAGGTTGGATGAATTTATAGAATTTTCCTTTTGTGCTGGCGGAATATTCATTTTGCCAACGGAGCCTGCAGTAACTGTTTATGTGGGCTCGAAGATCTCTAGGGGAGATAATAGAGCATGGAATGCCAGCGGAGGCTGCAGTCTTGGCCAGCCGGTCCGCTTCACCATTAAATTTGTTGTTGCTGTGGCCTTTAGTCCAAATTATGTGCACTACGGTGCCTCTATTGGTTAGTTGAATGGTGGTGTTAAATGTATGAGATATTAAAGGGTGGTTAGAATTGTGGACACTCTGACTGTCGGAAAAGATAATTAGATTATGGGGATTAATTGATTGGGCATATTTTAGGGATTCTAAGATTGCTAGAGCTTCAGCGGTGAAAAGGGAGGCAATGTGGGAAAGTTTGAATTGTTTTGAGAAGGAACTAGCTGGGATATGGAAGGCTGCGCACACACCGTTGTCGGATTTGCAACCATCTGAATAAATGGCTAGAGCCTCTTCGCAATAGCCCCTACAAGATGCCTCCTCAATGTATGGAGGGAAGGAGGACCAGTTGGAAATAGAAAGGGGATCGGGAATAGCAAATTTGTTAGGGACCAGTAGTGGAAATTGATTGGTAAGGAACTTTGGGTGGTTGGACGTTGGAGGCACAGAGATAATCAAGTGGGAAAGTTTCAGAAAAAGAGTAGATAGCAAGGGGGATTTCTTATTCAGAAATTGCTGGTATTGGAGGCAGTAGCAAGTTGGCGGATGTGGAGGACAATGGGGTGGTTTTCGATTAGCATACGAGAGGATAAAAATCTACCCGTGACCAGGACCTACGATGAGTGAGAGGTATCTCCTTAGCTTCCACTTGAAGAGCGTTAATTGGCGTGGATCTCATAACTCCCAAGCTTACTCTGAGGGATTTATACTGGATTTTGTCTAATTTAGCCAAATGAGTGTTTGCAGCATCTCCATACAATAATGATCCATAATCCAGTCTTGAAAGTACCAGTGCTCTATAGAGAAAAAGTGCAATGCTAGGGTGTGAGCCATAGCGAACTTTAGTAACACACCTGATTATGTTTATGGCTTTTCGCAAACATCAACCAGGTAATTGATGATCTCTCCAGATTGTTCAATGCTATAATTTCAGATTGGAAAACTGTAGCACATTTACCTAGGTTTACGGTCAGTTCGGTCTTGGGGTTAATCTCGAAGATCCCAGCTCCCGTACCCTTGTCGGTTTTGGAGCCGTCAGTGGCTACCGTTTACCAAATTGAAGGCTGTACTCTCCTCGATCTCTCCAAAGATCATACCTGTCCGATAGGTATTATTAGTTTTTCCTCTTTCTTCCTTGTTGGAGTTGATGTACCTCAAGGAAGCATCCTAAGTCTAACCTTTACCCTCCGCCAAGCGACATGTCCATCTGCTTTAATACTATCACTCTACAGTATTCCAAAATACAAGATTTTCAAACACATAAGTTTGTTAGGTACTTTTCTACTCCAGCTAGAAACAGAGGTCATTGAAGGAAGAAGGTTACAAACTAGTCTTTCAATTACGAGAAATTACGAGTCTGACAAGCTTGAGATTACCATTAGTCTGAACCAATTGGTACTGAGCTCTGTTCGAATTAAAACAAAGTCGGATTAACTGAAAAACTGCAATTATATAGAAGTACGTGGAAAAATAATTTTATAGTATTAATTTGTAGTTAGGTCGTTTTTGATCCTTTTGGTCTGCTCATTTTGACGTTTTGGACTGTCAAATGCGTTTCGGCTTTTTGCAATCTTCAGTTTATAATAATAATTTTGGTTAAAAACCGACATTGAACATCAGAACTCGTCTGATTGACTAAAACACCGTTAGGCTACAACAGCTCATACATAGACATAAAGACATATCGGAAGAACAAAAAACAAAGAGCTATAGGCAACAATAACATCGACACAATCCTTCCAACTTTCACGAACTGAATTCGCACAAACTTATCACCGAACATGGCGAGAAACGATACAAGTTTGACATTGCGAAGTATAGAGAATATGCAGACTAAAATAAACTGTGAAAGTACGTTGAAATTATAATGTTTTAGGATGTGAACGCCTTCAATGACAGTTTCGTCTGGTTGATGTCTGCTGACAGCCCTGAAATACTGCAAGCATTACAGGCTCTTCCGTTGGGAATCAACTCGGACGTCGTCCTACGTCTTGGAAACGGTTCCCTATACGACATATACAAAACCGCCCCTCGCTTCAGATTTCAGGTGTACGACTGCGGCGTATTGAACAAGACGGATTTCCGTTTGGAAAAGGCGAAAAGGACCAGTTTAGACGGCGTCACTCTAATAGGCGGCATTGTGGTCGGTTTTAATTTTGTTTTTACACGCTGAAAATATCTAAGAAAAACTTGAATTAGATTGTAGATCTGAAACTGGACGGCGACTTCAAAAATATATCTCGATTATTGACCGACCCGTCTTACTACCCTGAGTTTGATGTGTTTGCTAGGCCGTATATAATCTTCCACCAATTCTTGCAGATGTGGCTGAACTACAAGTAACATTTCCTAACTATTATAAAACATCACTTTTCTATCTATGTACGCACTTTTTTAAAAAATTTATAGTACACCTTCAATTCGGTAAGGGGAAATATATACAAGCATTAAAGTCAAGAGCAGATTCTGGTAATATCACTTTCACTATCACTGCGTAGGAGATCTTGACGCCATCGTCTCTTCAGTCGACGAGGAGGTGCAGGAGGGATTCGTTGGAATGTGAGTTTTTAGGTGCGCTGATTTGAGGGCGCTTTTGTGAAAGTTTCGATAACGGAAGTAAATTTCATCTTGGACGGATGTAATGTTTAAGTCTGTATGTGCTTCCGTTTGATACGTAATACGGAGCATCAAGGATTTTTCGTAACATTGGGCAGATTGGCTGTGGCAGATGGAACGTTAGACTGAACGCCAGTCCTTAAGTCCATAGCTTTACAATGGTGTTGTAAATCAGCCTTTTATTTATGAGAGGTTAATCAGAACGTTTGTCAAGAAGTCGTGGAAAAGAGCTGTATCGTGTCATAACTTTTGGAAGTTTCAGTCGTGTGTGAACATAGCACATCGTTCGTCGATATACAGTCCGAGGTACCGCACCTTGTCCGCAGTTGGGAGAGTAATATTAAATTAACTCTACTTAAATCCAATCGGATTGAGAGATGCTGTTTGGAGTGTGGAGGTAGTGAGGAAGATTGTCTGCATTAATTTTTTTACGAGGGTTCGCAACAACAGAGGTCATACCAACCCCCCATGGAGTCGGTGTTTCTGAAAAAATCCCATTGTCGGGTTCGAATGCAGAGACGCTGGATTCAAACCCGGGACCTTGCAACCTTGGAACCTTGAAGGGATGACTGATGTTTCAACCCCTTAACCGTTACGGTCTCCGACGCCCCAGTGGGAATTTCGGGTGAAAATGGATCGGAGTTACTAGAGAGAATTGCTGTTATTTCTGCAAATGTTAGCGTGGCGGTTTTACGATGTAATGGAATATCATCTGTGTACACTTGGTATAGTGTGGGGGCAAAAACGCTGCCCTGATGAGCACCGACATGGTGTGGGAAATATACTGAAAAGGAACTGCCTTGATGAAAGATGCCCTCGACATGAACAGCCAGCCCGGGTCCCAACTCGATTAAAAGATCGGTCTACGTCAAGAAAGGCCCAGAACTGCCACATGTCAAGGGACGAGGAAATAATGTCTACCATGTACCATGGTACCGGATAGTTGAGTCAAGCCAAATTGATGGTCGTAGATTGTATTTTGAGAATTTAGGATTGGAAGAATTCTTTTCAATAAGAGTTATTCTATAACTTTGCCTAAAGTGGGTGGTAGTCTTATTGGTCTACATGAAGTAGTATAATATGTTGGTTTTTTTCTGGTTTTCGGATATACGAATGTTTCCAAACTGTAGGGAAGTAGGGTGTAGGATGAAAAGAATTAAATAGGTATGTAATGAATATGATGCCCTTTTTGGGAAGGTGTACACTCATATTTACTCCACTGCGTCGCATAAATCCAGGTTGTATCGGCATATCAAATAAACTAGTCGGACTCGAAATAGGATGGTATCACAGCTAAATCAGAATTCAAGAAATGAAAGCAATATTTGCATATTCCACTTTGTTTTGCTTAAGTAAATAAATTTCGATGGACAGCTTTAATAAAGGATATCTAAATGCTTAAGGAAAATCAGCTAAGAGAATAAAACGGATTCGACCGTGACAGAAATTGCTAGGTTGAATTAATCATTAATAATTTAGTTTCGAGGTCTTCTTTTTTTCAAAATCTTATTTTATTTTATAAATTAATTAGGTCTTTTTAACTTTTGTCTTTTTTTGAGATTGAAGCATATCAAATCCTCCACGTGGGGCTACAGGGACACTCAAACTGGTAAAATGACCGGTTTAGTTGGCGACCTCGGCAAAGGTAAGGCGGACATCGGTTTAACCCCTGTTCAGCCGAGGGAAGAACGATGGAGTGAAGCCAACTTCTTGCCGGCATTGTGGTATATAAGGTACAAAGAAGAAAGGTATAAAATCAGCTTAAATCTGTTTAACGAACTTTTCTCAGGTTTATTTCCGTGTTTCGCCAACCGAAGGTTCTCGGTACTACTAAAGCCCTAGCCCTTCCATTTTCAAATGAAGTATGGATCTCTACGTTCATCACCTTGGTCTTGTTCACCATTGTATACGAAATTATTGTATTCGCCGGAAGATCGTTCTCGAAAAGGAATCGTTTGGAAAACGGCGAGGGTTTTCTGTACATAATAGGAATAATGGCACAACAAGGTTGATATTTGATCGTTGGTTGTGATAGTAAACTGTCGACAGAAATTTGGTCACTAATGGATGAAGACAGAAAGTTGAGTCTTGGGAGAATTTTACAGGTGACATGCTTGCAGGTTTGATGCATAATCCTTCTACTTGTTCTGTGCGGATTTTGAGCGTTTTCGTACTGTTCCTTGGTTTGTTGGTCATTACGTACTACAATGCCGCCGTGTTGAACAGTCTCCTCACACCGGCGCCGAATTCGATACAGACTATGAAGCAGCTCGTTAGAACTAAGTACATGGGAGTCGGCGTTATCAACATTTCCCACGTTACGCATAAAGTGGTAAATAAATGATTAAGAAAACGAAAAAAAGAAAGGCACAGTTGAATACTAGGCTTTTTCAGAATTGGCAATTGTATTTCGATGCGGAGACCCAAGCCAAGATAGAACATACAAAAAATTACATCATGTCCCTCGCCGACGGCTTGGATCGGGTGAAGACTGAAAGGTTCGCACTTTACGGCGACGACATTCCGCTTTATTCGGGAATATCTCGTTTGTATACCGATTCGGAGATATGCGAGCTGGCTGAGGTTGATGGTGTACCGGCTTTTCCTATGTCCTTGCCAGTCCCGAGGAACACATCCGTCAAGGAGATATTCACCCAAGCGTGAGTGTATTTTTGACCGTTTCTGCCCAATACTAAATTTCTCAATTTTTCTAGCATTCTCTGGCTCAGGGAGAACGGCTTATCGGAAAGGACGAGGAAAATCTGGCACCCAAGCTCTCCTCCTTGTTACGGCAGCATCGCCTTCATGCACGTGAAGCTAGAAGCCATCGTCATCGCCCTGGGAATCTACCTTGGTGGTATAATTTTGTCCCTCCTCATACTCGCCACGGAGAAATTAATTCATTTAAGACAAAAAACTATTGTTGAAATAATAAGAAAGATCAATTGAACTCTAATCCAAAGAAAAATTCATTTTCATGGATAGAAAGCAGAATAATACATAACACGACTAAAAATTTAATCTGTAGTAATGCGTGAAATAAAACTATGAACAGTACAAGTTTTATTTTCCTTAAAGCTACTTTAATACAGCCAATCATAAATCTATATTAAAATTCATGGACAAGTCCAATTTGAAACAAAGCCCTCAGCTTGGTGGATGATGACCTGATTGTAAAGCTATACAGGGTGTTCAGCTACTCGTACTACAAACTTTGCCAGTAGATTCTACAATCAAAAACTAACCAAAAAGTCCTAATTAACTATGGTCCTAATCTCAACAGTTTCGGAGTTATTTCAATTTATCTGATTTTTCAAGATTTCATGACATTGCTTAAAATAAACATTGATAACTACAAAACTGACAAGTTTTGGACAAATCCGTTGATACAATTGAAATCTACGTTAAATTTCCAAGATGTGATTAATATTAAACTTATAAACCTTCGGAAAATAAGCGTTTTAGTAGAGAGAACTTTAAAAAAAATTTAATTTACTAGTTATCGTGGTCCGCTTGACCAATTAATATCTTTCAATTAATTAAGGTTTTTAGTTGAGATAAAAAAGTCAGTGTGACGAACGGGATTCGAACCCACGACCTTCGGCTTGATACGCCGCTACTCTACCACTTGAGCTATCGTGACTTCGATCCCCTCGGGCACTAACTTCCCATCTGAACCGCACCTTTTTGAATTTTCCCTCCTTTTTTGCCATTTTTCAAAATGCTCTATTTGATTCTCGGCGATTAATGAAATGGCCACGGAGAGCTTTAGTGAAGATATACTTCATTTTATCTTATTAAATTCACTAGTTTTCGTGGTCCGCTTGACCAATTAATATCTTTCAATTAATTAAGGTTTTTACTTGAGATAAAACTAGAGATCTAGCCGAAGGTCGTTGGTTCGAAACCCGCTCGTGACACTGCCTTTTTATCTCAACTAAAAACCTTAATTAATTTAAAAAATATTTTTTTGCCAAAGTTTAAAAACTTACTATGTTGATTCTAAACGACTATTTCCAAACCTGGAGACCAGCTAATTTCAGAAAATGTACTCCATTTAATATCCTTTTTAGAGGTGTAACTGCTTTTTGTTGAATTACTTTGTTCAAATATGAAAAAATTGACGAAGGAAAAGAAAAGAAGCCTTGGTTGAAGAATCGGTAAGGTCGAAAGATTTAATAAGAATAAAAATAAAATACTTCAGAAAATTGTGAATGAGTTTATTAAACTATTTTAATTTTGATTCGTAATGCTCTCCACCTTTCGCAATGTATTTTTCACGAGCTGTTAACAAGATAAAACATAGATAACTAAAATTGTTTTGAATTTTAAAACTCTTTTATTCCGGATAATAATAATACAATTCTGTAATCAAACTGGTTTTGAGGAGTCGGTCGAGTGGGCCGACGTTTACCTTGGCTCATCAATCGATTCCATGGTCGGCTTCCTGACCTCCAATCTTCTCAATATCCTTAACAAGCATGCCCCCCTAAAAACCCACACTATCCGTCGTCCTCTTGCTTCCTGGTTAAACGACGAAATTAGAGCCTTAATTAAAAGACGGGAAGCGGCAAGAAGGCGCTTTCGTCGAATTAAACTTCCTGAAGACCACTCTTCCTTTCGAGCCCTTCGCAATAAAACCCAATCCTATATCCGTCGAGCCAAAGCCCTTCATTACCAAGAGGCACTCTCCACCACTCCTAATCCTAAAGCAATATGGAAGCTCCTTCGTAACATTGGCATATGTCGCCTACCCAACTCACCATCTTCCTATCCTGTCTTCCCTGAAGAATTAAACACCCACTTTGTCTCGCCTAACTCTTCTTCATCAATGCCTGTCCCCATACCCGCTCCCTCTGGTCCCTCATTCAGTTCGTCTAACTTCTATTTCAGCCGAAGTCCTTGAGGCCATAACCAATCCCACTCCAATGCCTTTGGAGTTGATGGCATCCCTATCCATTTTCTTAAACTCTGCCTCCCAATATTACTACCTGTCCTACTTCGCATCTATAACTACTCACTCCAAAACTCTGTTTTTTCGACAGCCAGGCAAAAAGCACTTGTCCACCTTGTCAATAAAACCCCCAACCCATCCTCCCCTACAGACTACCGTCCTATTTCCATCCTCTCAAACCTGTCAAGCCCCTAAAAAGATTAGTCCAAGCACAAGTCTCCAGGCACCTTGAACAGTCCCATCTTCTCAACCCCCTCCAATCTGGATTCCGCCAAGGTTATTCCACCCAATCAGCACTTATAAAAATTACCAATAACCTTCACTTAGCAATGGACCAACGGAAAGTTTACTATACTCTTGTCCTTGATTTTCCTAAAGCCTTCGATTCTGTCCCTCACTCTTCTCTCCTCTCTAAACTCGAATCTTTTTCCTTCCAGCACCATCCGTTGGTTCCACTCCTACCTTACCAATCACCACCACGCTGTCTCCCTTCCCAATGGCCTTACGTCCTCCTTCCTCCCTCTAAAATCTGCGGTGCCCCAAGCCTCTAGCATCTCTCCTATCCTTTTTTCCATTTATATCAACGAACTGTCTGACTCCATCCAGTCCTGTAACTATCACCTACATGCCGATGACTCCCAAATCCTTCCACCCTTCCGATCTTCACTCGGCCACTCTCAAGATCCAAAAAGACATAAACTCCATCAACGAAGGGGCCCATAAAAATTCCCTACTCCTCAATCCGTCCAAATCTATAATTATCGGGTCCAGGCAACTCCTCAATTACCTCCCCAGCATCCCACCTCTCATGCTAAATAACCATCCCATCCCCTTCTGCTCGTCGGTTAAAAACCTAGGAGTAGTCTTTGACCAAAACCTTTCCCGGCATTCTCACATTTCCCAAATTTCCCGCCATTCCATTGCCTCCCTCAGCCTGTTTTGTCAGTCCTGGCTTCTCTTACCTTTCTCCACCCGCAAACTCCTTGTATCTTCCCTTATACTTCCCTTCTTCGATTATAGCTGTTTGGCATACGGTGGTCTCTCGGAGGGGGAAGCGTATTATGAATTGTTGCGTAAGATTTGTATACGGCACCCCACGGGGATCCCGGGTGTCGGGGTTGTACTCCCAACTTTCCCCTCCTTCCGTGCATAGTATTTCCTAAATTGCTTTCTTTTCCAGTCCATCCACACTCGTCCTCCTTAAATCACCCAATCCCTCCAATTCAACTCCTCACATCTCACTCGTAAGACCCGCCCATCCTCAATCGACCTTATCCTTCCGCAACATACAACCCATACCTTCGAAAGATCCTTTCTGATCCGAGCCCCTAAACTCTGGAACTCCCTTCCCCTTTCTATTCGTCACGCTGCCTCCTTTTCCTCCTTTAAATCCCACCTGTATAATCACCTCCTCTCCCTCCAAGCAGAGACCTCACTTAACATTTGTATTTTTTTTTAATATTCTCGTAATTTTCTCTTTTGGCCTGCCTTACTGGTATACATTGTGCCAAGATTTCTATCTTTTTTTTTACTTTTAACTTCATAGAAGGAACTTCCTTTATTTATTTCATGTAAATTATTCTTAGGGGACACCAGTCCCAGAATAAAGTTATTTTTCTTCTTCTTCTTCTTATTTTGAATGTGCTATATTGTTGATATTGCTTTGTTATTTATATGTTTAAATTAATTAAGGTTTTTAGTTGGGATATAAAAGTCAGTGTCACGAGTGGGATTCGAACCCACGACCTTCGTCTCAATACGCCGCTGCTCTACCACTTGAGCTGGTTTGGTCAATCGGACCACGAAATCTAATGAATTTAATAAGTTAAATGAAGTATATTTTCACTAAAGCTCTCCGTGGCCATTTCATTTGTCGCCGAGAATCAAATAGATTACACGACATTTGAAAAATGGCAAAAAGGAATGAAAATTCAAAAAGGTGCGGTTGAGATGGGAACTTAGTTTCCGAGTGGATCGAGGTCACGATAGCTCAAGTGGTAGATCAGCGGCGTCTTTAGCCGAAGGTTATGCGTTCGAATCCCGCTTGTGACGCGGACATTTTTATCTCAACCAATACCTTACATAAACATTAATTAATTGAAACATGTTATTTGGTCAATCGGACCATGAAATCTAATGAATTATTTTTATCTTAAATAATGTTTTATTTTGATATAGATATAGTTTGGTCGTTAAGATAATTCTGGTCCGATTATCCTCGCTGCTTTGGTCTATACAAAACGGTTCAGGATTTTAAATTGATTATTAACGGAGTGGGTTCTACCCCACCACGAGGATTATCGAGTACTCTGGGGTAGATTTCCAATTTTGTATCAGGTTTTGTGTTTATGATATTTAAACGGAATGGATGTCATTTATTAGAATGAAAGGAAGGGGCTCAACCTTAGAGGAATATCGAGCACTCTGGGTTGAGTGTATGGAGTCTAGAGAGTGAAAGTAATTTATTAGCGAGAATGGAGTAGGTTCAATCCGTCGTATTGAGAGTGCCCGAGACAGACAAGAATGACACATATAACGGAAAACAAACACTTTGAGCTCTGAAGATGATCTCAATAAAGATCGAAACGTTGGCACGATAAAGAAAATGTTTTTCTAAAACCTACGTCACAGCAGACCGCACCTCACGATCTCCGAATAATCATCAACTAATGATCACTAAACACCACACAAAAAACAATAAGGTACAGAAGTTAGAAACCAGTATTCGATTTCAAGAAGTAGCTGTATTATTCTGTGTGTGTATTACGCTGCTCTTTTTAAAAGCAATTGTTTTTCCCTTAAAGCACACCGGTAAGTCCTAGTTCATCATGGAACTTGATTAATATGCCGGGTTTCAGCGGTTGAATCTTTTCTACGGTTACGTTTATGTCCTGAAACACTTCCTCCTTTCTGGCAAGTGCAGTACCACCAGTTTCTTCGTAGGTGTGTTGGTGTTTCCTCTGCTTCTTTGCAGAATCTTTACGTGCAGTTTGGGATATGAAAATAATAACAATCGTAAATATGATTAATTAATTATACACACACATATGTACATAAATACCAGCCCATCCGGTATACATACACGTATACACACTCATACATTTACAATACACAGATATACACATACACCAGATGTACTAATTGACCGTTGTTGTTCAAAAAAAAATTGAAACACAACTGAACATTAAACAACAAATTCATAAAATATCAGTTAAGTAGGCCAAGAGGTCTCGAAGATAATGGTATCGAGAGGAGGTCATTCTCATTAGATAAGGTTGATCTTAATAACTACATTTAACGAATAAGTAAACAAAATAAATAAAAATAATTTACCAAATAATATAATGATATTATTGATATTATAAATAAATAAAATAATTTGTGACAAATATATGCAAACTATACTTTAAAGCCTTTAATCTTACTCTAAATATTTTAAAGCTAAATCAAGTTTTGCTCCGATGGAACAAAGAATCACCCTAGCTCAATAATTCATAGATGGATTTGACTTTGTCCAGATAATTGATGTGGTTACAAATCGAGTAAATCATGAAAAAAGCTGTAATCATGCTCAAGCTTCTCAATGATGAAAGAGAAACATCACAAAGAATTATTTCATAAATAATAACAAAGGGTGGTTGTTCCCTGGGAAAGAAAGTTTGGATTCTTTTCAACTGATAATTACAGGCATAATTTTCTAAAAAGTGGGAGGATACTGAAGAATTAAGTTTGAAAAAATACGATTCATTCGTTAAAAAGCCTGAGCACTATGGTATGGTATGGTATGGTAAAAAGGCCTGAGCAATAAGTTAGAATTAAATCTTGGAAGAAAATGCATGGAGTTGTAATTTGGATAAGTCTGATTTAACAGCGTATATCATGTCCGACCTTAACACTCCATTAAGCAACAAGTGTTTCGAGTTGAGGACCACATATCCTCATCCTTTGAGCGAAAAGAATACTGCGGGTACCTTTCTTAAAAAAATCTCTAAAAACAAGGTCATATTTTTTTCGTGAAACTAATATGAAATTTCGTTTTAGCACCTCTAGTGACCTCCAAAAATAAATTTTGTCTGAATTTAAACTCATTGATTTATGACCCATTAAAATTTTTCCTAATTTCGAGAAGTCGTTATCGAAATAAAGTAAAAGCTTTCAATTACCAAAAAATCTCTAAAAACAAGGTCATACTTTTTTTTACGAGAAACATATGAAATTTCGTTTTAGCACCTCTAGTGACCTCCAGAAGGAAATTTTTGTTTGAATTTAAATTCATTGATTTTTTTACCCCTAGAATTTTTCCGAATTTTGAGAATTCGTTATTGGACGTAAAAGCTACCAAGTACCAAAAAAATCTCTAAAAACGAGGCCATCACTTTTTTTTTCGTGAAACTAATATGAAATTTCGTTTTAGCACCTCTAGTGACCTCCAGAAGGAAATTTTTGTTTGAATTTAAATTCATTGATTTTTTGACCCCTAGAATTTTTCCGAATTTTGAAAAGTTGTTATTGGACGTAAAAGCTACCACCAAAAAATACTACCACTAGTACCAAAAAATCCCTAAAAACGAGCTATCACTTTTTTTCGTGAAACTAATATGAAATTTCGTTTTAGCACTTCAAGTGACCCCAGAAAGAAATTTTTGTTTGAATTTAAATTCATTGATTTTTTGACCCCTAGAATTTTTCCTAATTTTGAGAAGTCGTTATTGGAATAACGTAAACGCTCAGAAAGTTTATCAATTACCAAAAAATCTCTAAAAACGAGGTCATAATTTTTTTCGTGACACTAGTATGAAATTTCGTTTTAGCACCTCAAGTGACCCCAGAAAGAAATTTTTGTTTGAATTTAAATTCATTGACTTTTTGTCCTCTAAAATTTTTCCGAATTTTGAGAAGTCCTTATTGGAATAAAGTAAAAGCTAACAAAGTTTATCAATTACCAAAAAATCTCAAAAAACGATGTCATATTTTTTTCCGAGAAACTAATATGAAATTGCGTAACCCAGAAAGAAATTTTTGAATTTAAATTCATTGTCTTTTTGACCTCTAAAATTTTTCCGAATTTGTGAGTAGTCGTTATTGGAATAACGTTAAAGCTGTCAATCACCAAAAAATCTCTAAAAACGAGATCATAATTTTTTTTCCTGAAACTGATATGAAATTTCGTTTTAGCACTGTAATGACCTGTAAAAATAAATTTTTGTTTGAAATTAAATTAATTGATTTTTCACACATAACATTTTTCCGAACTTTGAGAACTCGTTATCGAAATAAAGTAAAAGCTACCAAAGTTTATCAATTAAGAAAAAATCTCTAAAAACGAGGTCATAATTTTTTTCGTGAAACTCATATGAAATTTCGTTTTAGTACCTGTAGTGGCCTGTAAAAATAAATTTTTCTTTGAAGTTAAATTCATTGATTTTTTAACCTTTACAATTTTTCAGAATTTTGAAAAATCGTTATCGGAATATTTGATTGAAACTGCTTTTATTCGAAAAGGGTAATAGGATTTTAACGTGAACATATCTTTTGAACCACATGTACCATAAAAATATATAAAACATTTCAATAAGAAAATACACAAAATAGCAAAAATTTTTGTCAGAAATTAGCCGTTTTTTAAATGGAAATAATAGTCCAATTTTAATGTTTGAAAAAGTTAAAAAATGCATTTGACAATTTCTTTGAAACGAATTATCAAGCATGAAAATCGGTCCACTACCTTTTGAGAAAGTGCTTGTACTACGATTGGGCAATCAGGCAGTCCTCGAAATTATCAAAAAATTAATTTGCGTTGATTTCCGCGTTTCCGTAAAGGTTTCGTAACGCTAAATTGACGAATCTGACAATGAGATATTCCGATAACGTCTTCTAAAAAATCGGAAAAATTTTAGGTGTCATAAAATCGATAAATTTATATCTAGGTGCTAAAACGAATTAATTTCGCGAAACAAAAATTTAAGAACTAGTTTACTTGAAAAATATTTAGCTTTTGGAATTTTTTGGTTATTGATAAACTTTGATAGCTTTTACTATATTAATATTACGATCAACATAAAAAAAATGCCTTAAAATGATACATTTACATACTTGGTTTAAGCAAGTAGAAAGGCAAAATATAAATAAGAAAAAAAATTCAACTTAAAAAAATGGCAATAACATGGTCTATTCGTATACGTGTCGAATATTTTGGTGTGGAATCACCAAAAAAAAAAAAAAAAATGTTCTAAATCGTGATCCACCTACTTGGGTGTCTCCTTGTTAGTAAAAATCTAATACTACAGATAAAATATCGTAATAAAAATTAAACTGTTAGAAAATCCCTTTGGTCCATAAATTCTCCTGTATTGCCATAAAATCTGATAACTCTGGTAAAGTAATTTCCAATCTGCCATAAAATCCCAGGTGGTGAGAATGGAATGGCGGAAGTATACAGATTATAATAAAACAATAATCAACAATTCGCAAGAATTTTTTTTTTATACGTTAATTTCGAATAAGATTATAAATTAATATACCCGGAAAATTATTGAACCGAAAACAACGGATTTTATTGATTTTATGAAATATTTCTTATCAGGATGTGACCATAAGAAAGGAATCGTTTTATAATAAATAATCAGTAAAATAAGAAATCAAAGGTTTTCGGCCCTTAATCATACAATAAATATTTCATTAAGCAATCTAACATCAAAACCATTTCTTGTTATAATTGGACAATTTCTTTATCGTCGGTTAATTCGCGCTTTTTGGTCACAAATGAAATAAGCAATGAACTGGCCACTTCTGATGCTCGGCTTCGTCCTTTTGGCTGACTGCAAGGAGCATTTCATTACGAAATATTTTTTACGGAAGAATATAAATGTTCTCAACGTTTTCTTTTGCCATCGGGACGGTTGGTCTAAAATTGGCATCTCTGCTGTGAACATTTAAGCGAACAAGATTTGCTTTTACAGATGCAAAACAACTAATAGCGAGTATGATCAAAAATAGAAATCTTTTGGTAAATATTGCAGTAAAAGACAGAAAAAGGTTGGTTTCTTCCAGTTCCTATGTTCAAGGAATGTACATGGATTTAAATTGTAAGGAAAATGAACATCTTTTGTTAACAAAAACTGTAAGTAAGAAAATATCATAAAAATTGGGGAACAGGTTCTCTCACCCCCTCTCTCTCTCACTTTTTTTCCATATTGCACTAATAAAATGAATATATTTGTTAACAAAAACCCTAATGAAGAAAATACATAATCATAAAAAATTGTGAAACATGACTCTTCCTCTTTCTCGTTCTCTTTCTTGTTCTCTCTCTCTCTCTCTCTCTCTCTCTCTCTCTCTCTCTCTCTCTCTCTCTCACACACACACTTTTTCCCCATATTGCACTAATAAAATGAATATCTTTTCTTAACAAAAAACCTAATAAAGAAAATACGTAATCAAAAAAGTTGCGAAACGACTCCCCCTCTCTCTCTCTCTTCCTCTCCCTCTCTCTCTCTCTCTCTCTCTCTCTCTCTACTTCTCTCTCTCTCTCTTTCCCTCTCTCTCTCTCTCTCTCTCTCTCTCTCTCTTTCTCTCTCTCTTCCTCTCCCTCCCCCTCTCTCTCTCTCCCTCTTCCTCTCTCTGGTGAAAGACAGCGACTCAACGCTGTAAAATTCCCGATTCGAATCTCAGTCCCTCAATTCGAACCTAAATTATTTCCAAAACGGACAAATTCTGGAGTTTATTATGACTTCTGCTGTATTGAATCCCTGTAATACAAACAAATTTTAAAAAATTATGAAAGAGATGTTTTTTTGATTACTCTTAGATGAATGAGCCTATACAGTTCATGACGTTTTAGGACGTGAACACCTTCAATATCAGTGCTGTCTGGTTGCTGTTTGCTGAAAGCATTGACATTCTAAAAAATCTTAAGTCTCTCCCTCTTGGAATCAGCTCTGATGTCGTCCTCCGACTTGCGAACGGTTCTCTGTACGATGTTTACAAAACCGCTCCACAGTACAGTCTTCAGGCGTACGACTGCGGCGTTTTGAGCAGGTCGGATTTTCGTTTGGAACAAAAGAGAAAAAACGATTTAGAAGGTATCACTCTAACCGCTGCATTTGTAAGTGGTTTTAAATTAAAATAAATGGCACTGGAATCTTTTAAAATCCAAACATTCTTTTTTAGTATACAGATGTGAAAATAGACAACGACTACCAGACCACTCGCCAGTATAACGACCCCACTTACTACCCACGAGCGGAGTTATACAACAGGGAGCATTTCATGTATCATCAACAATTGCAGAAATTGTTAAATTTCAAGTAATTTATCTTAATATTAAGGAATTTTCCAATGAAAATAATCAGATCTGGCAATATTGGGATTATTTCAATTTAAATATTGGGGGTGTTCGTGACCGCAACGGTTTAGGCTTTGAAACGGCGCCCATCACTGTAAGGTAAAGGTCCCGGGTTCGAATCCAGCGGCCCGGCATTCGAACCCGACATGAGCTTTTTTTCAAAAACACCGCCACTCCGAGGGTTGTTGTAACCTCTGCTGTTGTGAATCCTCGTAAAAAAAATTCAAATATTTTATTTTAGATCAAGAGGTATTTGGTTTCTTTTATAAATGGGTTTTTTTGTTCTAGAACATTCATTCTCAGATCTGCCTCGTATGGCAACCAAATCAGTAATGGCAGTTGGAACGGGATGGTCGGGGAAGTGTCTCAGGGCAAAGCAGAGGTTTCTATAGCTCCATTACAGTTGAGGAACGACAGAGGGAAAGTGGTCAAATTCTTGGTTTCTTTGTCGACGTTGAGGTTTTCATAAAAATTGGAGTAAAAGTTTCAAAACTCGACCTTTCAGACGATATATTTCAGGATAGTGTTTATGTTTCGTCAGAAGAAATATTTGGGAAGTTACAACGCTCTGATGCTGCCGTTTTCCACCGAGGCTTGGATTTACACGTTCATTACGATGGGGCTGTTCGTAGTTTTTTACGAAACGATTTCATACATCAGAAAATCATTGAGTAAAGGAAATTCATCGGAAACTGGCGTTGGGTTCATTTTCGTCGTAGGGATCATGGCACTTCAAGGCAACTTTTCCAGTCTTTGACATGTATTTACTTTATTGAAGTAAAACTTTTCCAGGATTAATGAAAACTCCTAATACATGTTCGATGAGAATTTTGAGCATAGCTTTACTACTGTTTGGACTATTTGTGAGTACATTCTACAATGCTGCTATAATGCACGGACTCCTGACACCAGTTCCGATCCCCGTACCGACCCTCGAGCAGCTTGTAAAAAATCCTTCGCTCGAATTAGGCATTTTAGACGCTAATTATCTATCGGGGAATAGAAATGTGAGCATAAAACCATGAAAGTTTATATGTAAATCATGATCCTTTTTTTGTCTCAGAGCTGGGCGTTTTTCTTTAAACCCGAGACCCGAGCTCAGCTGGAAAAGAGAAGTCGCGTCATGTCGGCCGATGCCGGATTAGAAATGATGAGGACTAAACGGTTCGCGTTCTGCACCGACGACTTCGGCGCGTACTGGGACATATCTCGGAAATTCTCCGATTCGGAAAAATGCGAAATCGTCGAAATAGAAACAAGAGATCCGTTTCACATCGGTTGGATGGTCGGCAGAAATTCTACAAACAAGGAACTGTTTAACAGAGGGTGGTAGTGCTTTTATTCTTCTTTTATGTCAAATTATTCTTGTTTTTTCTTTCTTCAGTATTATCTGGCTCAAGGAGAACGGCCTGTCGTACAGAACGAAGAGGTTTTGGTTCCCCATGTCACCCTCTTGTTACGGAAGTATCACCTTCCTGCACGTGACTTTGGAAGCTGTTGTCATCGCCGTGGGCATCTACCTGGCAGGAGTCGTCTTTTCCATTTTCGTACTTGGCGTAGAATTGCTAATTCACATACGACAACGAACCGTTAAGGTTCAAATAATAAAGGTCCGGCGCGTTAAAATCTCATAGAGATTTAATTTAGAAACCAGGCTATGTATACGAACAATTCTGACAACCTGTTACATCTGTTAATACATGCACACATTTTATTATGAGGATTAAAAATGCAATGACAGGCTAAAAATTCTGCCCACTTGTAATATAACTTGATTTGTATATATTAATAAAAGTTTCACGTTTAATAATTGAGTCTTTATCTAAAAACTTTAAAAAAATGTAAATTGCTAAAGAAAATGAAAAATGAAAAATAAAAATGAAAAAAAAACGGACAGATAAAATTTGTTTTAATTAGATTTTTAGTTAACATTTCTATATTGCGTATTTCTCCTCTTGCCTTAATTACATCTCGAAGGCGGCTCGGCATACTTTCTGCCAGTCTGGAAATGTCTCTTTGCTGGAGGTTAGCCCATTCTTCACGAAGAGTCCTTTCAAGGTCGTGGAGTGTATCAAGATGGACGAGCTCTTAATCGTTTTTTGAGGTTATCCCATAAATGCTCGATTGGGATCAAGTCTGGAGATTCGGCTGGCCATGTTAAGGCCCGGATGTTATGCTGTTGAATGACCAAGACTGGCAAAAACATCGCTGCAATTAGATAGGGCCGAACTCAGAGGAGTGGTAGGACTACTAACCGGTCAGTTTATTCGGTCATCCTAAAAAGGACTCTGAGGATCTTTAACGTCCGCACCTAGCCTTCCGGCCTTATCGAACGTTTTGATTCTCAAGATGAGAGCTGACGCACCTTCTCATACGACAGAATAGTGTTACTGCCGCAGCATTGGCGTAGAGGCAGCTCAGCCCCGAAAGGCCAAGACAACCTCCCTCCCCGCTTGTCCATTGCAAGTGGCCGGGTCTGCATTGAGCATCAAACCGTAAGCCGCGCACGGGTTATTCTTACTTGAGCCGAAATACATCAGCCCGGTCTCCCGCACGCTCCATAGATAGAGAAGGCCACCTCTATCTCCCAGAGTATTAGGTATTCCCTAGCGTAGAAACTTCCGGATTCGCTCCACCCCCTAGAGGAGCACCGCCTACGGTAAAAACCTCCTATCGAGTTCAGCCTACACCTGCCATGCGCATTCGAGGGACGCCATAGGCTCAGCCTAGGTGGTCCGATCCTTCGCTTCCCCAAGGGTATCACGCCGGTCATA